TCGAATACTAAACAATTAAAAATATTTGTATTGAATACTCGTGTCATTAATTATATTTTATAAAAAACTAAAATTATTACTGATTACTAAACAAAGCCAACTTAATATTTGTCATACGTATTTTTTCTGTACTTTTCTGTAAAAGCTTGAATTCGTGATGTATACATATCTGGTGAAATGGTACTTTTAGGGTGAAACAATAAGAAAAACCTAAGGTTCTAAAAAAGTATGATTTTAATCTGGAAAAAAATCTTGGTTTTATTAATAAACATTTTTGTCTGAAGTAGGGCTTAAACCGCGATCATCAAGGCCTGAAGACAGTCACACTATACACTCAGCTGTCATGTAACCAACATAAAATAAATTAAGATAATTTTTTTTAGTTATCTGTATTATCTTGATACGTAGATTTTTGGGTTAAATTAGTTTTTTCCTTAAAACATTATTTTAATAAAAACATAGTTGTACTATGTAATGAAATATGTTTTTAATCCATTATACATAAAAAAAAACTTTGCGTAAGACTGTCAGGTATAATGCGACTTTTAATGATCTAAAAAATGCTCATAAATTAATAAATTAGATTGTACATACTAGTTTGTAAAGCATAAGTTAAAAAGAGTCTTCAACTTTTAGTCTGGTGAATAAGTCAGAGAATACTGTAAAAAGTGGAGAAGTTAGAACCGAGCAAGCAACGAATCCGTGATCAAAAATTGTATGAGGGTGTTTGCACCACATGAAAACCACCCCTAGGAATGACAACAATGAGAAAACTTTCAACATTCTAAATTTTACCTGAAATCATCTTTCGAGGATACTAGGGTTTTTGATTACGGATCCTTCATCTGCTAAAAAAAATTTTTACTTTCAATATACTATTCACGAGAATTTTGGTTTCTACGTAGTTAAATTGTTAAAAAAATAAATTGCACCTATACGAAAATTATTTTTCAATAATTATTCAATTATTTTTTTAATACATTATTGATGGGTCCTTCTTTATCTTCACGTATATAACATTCTATTATTTTAGCCGGAGAGACTACTTCATCTTCTGTTCTATCAGTGCTTGCACAGGTGACTCGTATTTAGTGCATTTGGATTCATAATACAATTCACACATTCGTGAGTAGTATACGCTATTTTTTCTGCATTTAGAAGCTGCACCACAACCTGTTTGGCATCCATAATATTTTTTGGCACTGGTAAATCTGTGATTTTTACGCCACTGATGAAAGAGGCATACTGTAATTTCGCGGGAAAGTATAAAAGTAGTTACAAGTATGCATATAGCTTCCCTGTCACCAGCCAGAATGTTGCAGAGAGGATGATATACAGATGAAAAAGGAATTTTGAAACATACAAACAAATCAGCTATGGAAAAATTTATGGTAAAATACTATTGCCCAGTAATTAGATTAAATATTCTTATCCAGTGACCCAAAAAACTTCCGGTAGACGATTTCTAAAGTAAAATTTTAAATTTTTAAAATTGACTCTTTTTTGTTGTAGGGGTGGTTTTAATGGGGTAAAATCACCCTTACACGATTTTTGACCGCGAATTAGTCAATAGCAACCCCAATAATCCTCGAGAGGCGGTTTTTGAGGTTAAATTTTGAGTTTTTTAAATTTTTCATCACTTTTACTTTAAGGATGATTTGGGAGTGGGAAAACTATCCTAATTTTTTAGTAGTGATAAATGTTTCTGAGGGTCCAAAGAATACATGCAAACAAAAGTTTTCAAATTTGTGCTTGTTACCAATTTTTCAACAGTCTTCGGCTTATTTACTGGGCTATTTGTCCCATTGAGTACCATTGAGTCTGAAAGTAAACACTATAAACTATTTGGAATTTTCTGTAAATCGATTCTCGTTAACGCTATTTTTAAGCTAATACTACTAATTACCTTGAATTTTGATTAAAATACAATAACTTTATTTCTTACTTGAAAAGCATATCCAATGAAAATAGTGTTATCCAATTCAGTTATTGATATTTTAGATACTATTTTTTTAACAATTAGTTTTAATTAACAGAAGTTGTTATCTGTCACTTCAGTTTTATTTTTATTCACTTTTATTTAATATTCAATTATAACAAGTGATAAATAATTTAAGCTATAAATTTTATTAGTTATAATTGATACTTATTATTATTATAACTTTTGATTTTAATTTTTTTTTTTTTTTTACTTTCTGAGAATCTATTCAGGATGAAATAAAATAAACTAATGATAATAACTAAGAGTAAAAATAATAATAGTTACAAAATTTTGTTTTCAATTGAAAATTTAAAACTGTAAAAATTATTTGTGAAAATTTAACAATCTTTCAGAAATCGCGTATAATTTGGTAGCCAATATTAACATAATTGGATAATTATCCAGGTTGAATGAAAATCAAATCTTAGCACTACTTCCTTATAAGCGAAAATTTTCTGTTCTAAGGCCTGAGTAAAAGTATCAATCACGAGATTATCTTTTGTCTTCTCATTTTTATGGCTTGCGAAATGTTTTCCAAAACGTTTTAATTTTTCTACGTATACAGTGGCCCTCATTACTGTTTAGGTGCCTTGGGCACTTACCCAAATGCTCTAAGATAAATCCAGCCTTGTGCCCAATCACGTATCAGGCTTTGTAAGTTTTATAAGCATAGTGTAGTATCTAAAGATATATTCTCAAGATATGAACAGTCCAGATAATGGTAGCTTTGGGTAACTCTCCTTTTATCCTTTCTAATATTTCAAGCTAGCTAGTGTGAAATTTATTTGGTTTTAAAATACTTTTGTACACCCCTGAAAGAATTTTTTTTTACTCTGTTAAAAATTGTGTATAATAGGAGGTATTGGGATGTGGATAATTTCGAGAGACATTTTTATTTCTCTGTAATTTTAAGTACATCTAAAATAAATAAAACTAAAAATAATATGAAGATGGTTCACGCATGACTTCTAAGTCGAAGATGCGACTAAAAAATAAAATTGTATTGAAGTTTTCAAATTTATAAAAATTTTTATTGAATTTTGTAAATTGGATAAAGTAAAGTAAACTGTAATTCAATCATATATCATAATATTCCTTAAAGAATTTTAAGAAATAATTTAACCCCACAATATCTGCAGACAATGCTCTCCATTTTTTTTACCCAGGCTAAATATAGACAATATCTAAATCTGATAGTATTTTTGTCAATACCTTTTGATTTAAATTACTCTTCAAATGTTTTAAAGTATCTACCTACTTGAAATTGCCGAAATTTTTTTGAGTTAGATTGACAGATTGTTAATTTCTGACGACTACAATTTTTAATTTTTGTTAACAACGTCGAAAAAAGTGGTCTCCATTGAAGTCAATGTTAAAGAAACATTTTGCAACAAGCTCTTTCTTGCCTTTTATGTAGTCAAATTTACTGGAATTTTAATAGAGAGTATATCGTCGGCCGAAAGTGATAAAACTAAAATTAAAAGCATGTAGGCAAGAAGGCTACTTGTCAAATAATTTATCAAAAAGGTTACTGTTTAAATTATTCGTAATGAAGGTTACTTTTTAAATTATTTGAGAAAAAGGTAACTTCTCAAATTAAAATGCAAAAATGTTACTTTAAAAACAAATATAATAAAACAATTATACGTTAACTTTTACAAATAACAAGTTACGAATAAATATAATAAAACAATTTTTGTACTCGTAAAAACTAAAATGTTTGTAGAAACTTGCTTTACTCAAGTCTCCATATTAATTTTAATAAGTAATGTTTATTGTACTAAATAAATGAATAAATAAGTAACAACTTTAACTTTACTTTGTAACTGCATCAAAATTACTTGGTAATTTCAGTATAATAATTAGCAAATCGATTCAGAATCGGCTCTTTGTACTAAATATTGTATATCTTCATTTTTCTTTTCGCCTAACTGTAATTTTTTATTATAGTAATGTTCAATTGATATTGATGTTTAGTTTGGTTTTTAATATGAAAATTATATACCTCTTTAGATTCAACTGTGTGATCTTCAGGTAAGTACTCAAAAGTAGTACACATGTCGCATGCAATAAGTTTGTAGTTACACGTGACGAACAAAGATTTATACAGTGAAGTTCAAATGGAACTAAGTCAGGTGGCAAGACTATCAATAAAAATCTATTGCTGATAATGCTTAAGACGTATAGTTGTCCTACAGTTTGCTCTCCGTGTTCTCTTGTACATAAAAATAATGTAAGAAAAAAAAATGAAAAGCTTTGGAACTAATAATGTAAAAATTCTTTAATATTTACAGTATTCACGAGTTTAAAATTATAAAAATTCTAGAAACTTCAAAACGTGCACTTCTACATCTCTTACATAACAAACAGAAGGCACTTCCTTAAAGCGTACCGACATTTACCAAAATTCTATATAGAAAAATGAACACGGAAGTAAATTAAACTTTAAAAATTTCAATTTATAGTAATTAATTAACATTTTAACAAGTATACCGTTTAGTATTAAAAAGTATAATCACTGTAACCAACTCAAAATATGAAGTCCAAACATTATTTTTGAAAAGTAACCTTTTTGCTGTTTCATTTGACAGATAACTTTTCTACCAAACAATTTGATGAGTCATCTCTCTCCGAATAGTTTAAAAAGTAACCGTCTTGCTTAATCATATAAAAAGTAGCCTTCTCGCCTATGTGCTTTAAAAAGTAATTTTATTGCTTTCAGCCAACGATATTGTAACCCAATAAACAACCTCTTGAAGTATTATTGAATTATCTCAATTATTAATATTAGTATTAATCTCTCCTTTTTTGGGGTGACCTAAGTAATAACTTGCTTTTCCCCAATTTATAATTGAATTTTCGTCTGACATTGTAAAAATTAATTATTTTGCTAAATGAAGAAACTTTGAGTGGGCGAGTTAAAATTTACCCTGGCGAATCAGATTTTTATATCACAGATTAAGTGGACACTCTGATTTTAAATTTAAATTATAATACCACTTTTTTCAATTTGCCTCAGGAGCTAGAATTGTTGTGACATTATTACATTTACTTCAACGAATCAAAGGAAAAAAGGGCATTGCTTCCCTGTGCATTGGAGGGGGAATGGGTATTGCTGTTGCTTTAGAAATAATTTAAAGATGCTGATGAATTATTTATGCAAGCAATACACCAATGATTACGCATTCCTTTGCTTGAAAATTTATCGAAGACATGAACAATGAACTGAACTAAAGTTTCTTATATCTCAGAACGTCACAACAAACTGTAAATGTGATTTATTGTTAAATGCTGTAAGAAAAATCTTGCAATAAAATAATACATGCAAATATAATTTATCAATTGCGAGCGATGTTGCAGTATACATGGTAATGACGGTGCAAGGACCTTACAGTCTATCAGTGTTTTAATACAATTATTTATTTTTCTTGGTTCTCTACTATATTAAGAAAAAAGTTTTAAATAATCCTGTTATTTTAACATAAATCTATTCCTGTACAAATATTATGTACATACACAGAAAATAATGTTCACATACGTTAAGGAAAATAATAATGCTTGGTTGAAAATTGACAAAGTAGTGTTTTGTATTAACGAAATGTTTTTAATCTATACTCGAAACTGGGCGGTTGTACATGTATGGTACATTAAAATACTAAAAAATGAGACGTATTAATAATAAAAATGTACTACGTCTTGTATAAACGAGTGTTGTTAGATAGTCTTACTTTCAAGTAAAATATTGTACTAAGACATTCACATTGCTTGAAAGAAATAAAACATGTCTCTCAAACGGCTAATTACATAGAAGTGCTGACAGTCAGTGACAAAAAGTAGTTTTCTGACACAAAATGACAGTGATTCTTATTTTGGTCAGGTCATGCTGACTGGCGGTCGGTAGACCGTCACAGTTCGCAACTATTTGGATAACAAAGATATTTTTACTTTAGAGTCATATTATTTTAAGGGAATTACTTATAACTTAAAAGATACATATTTGCTTTTAAGCTTTTGTTGCGTGCGCAGTAAAAAAATTAGAACCTTACACTTTGAAAATGAAAATTGTGATATGTAATGGTCATTTAGATGCGTTTGAACAACTTATTCTTGTTCAACGATGTGTATAAGAATAAGTTGTTTAAACTCAATTAAATGACCAACGCAAATAATAGTTTTCATTTTCATTTATCTTTAAGTTTTTGATGTTTTTATTGCTGTATGTGTTTAAAAAGTTGAAAACAAATATCTAATTTTTAAATTATTATAAAATCTATTATCAAATATAATTACTCGTTATTGTAAGATATTCCTTACTTAGTAATAAAAATACCTTTTGCATCCACATATATAAAACATACATAACTAATCATCGATACATGTATTACCAGAGTAAATGCCTCTTTGAGGTCAGTACACTATAACATAAAAAATATATTTATATTTGTATTAAGTTGTGTAGGATATGCATTTGAGTTCTGATACGCCAAGAAGACAAATAAGTAGTCAGATATTATATTTAAAGTGAATTCGATTTTGAATAGTGACTTTTAAATGTAGTTTTCTTATTAATCTGGGTAACGTAAAAACAATACTTTTATCTAGTAAAGGTTTTCTGAATGTTACAAATATCTATGGACTCCTTTTACTTGCTTCTTTGTTATCATGAATAATGAATGAGGACTCTAAAAACTTGGTGTTTTGGAGCACGACTGTTTAAATAGTGAAGAGTCATAAACAGTCATGCTCCAAAATACCAAGTTTTTAGTCCTCATTCATCATTTTTCTGAATGTTGTAAGAAAAGAATTGAATTCCAGACTGTGTCATAAGAATCACGACTGAAGTAGTAAAATATCTTTTCTTTAAATATTTAGAAGACTTTTAGTGGCTAAAAATAACATTCTTAAGTTACTTAGATCAATTAAAAGACCACATTTCAAACTTTGTATTCAAAATCGATTTTGCTTTAAATATAATCATTTATTTATTATCTCACATTGAATTTTTAATCGTAGCTGTAAATATTTGTTTTATCATTCTTTGTATTAAAGTTATCTAACGTCGGCAACGGTAACAGCCGGTTGGTTAGACAAATTTCGTCTTGTCCGTGGATGGTCAGCAAGATGATCTGAACACCACCTTCTGATGGTCAGCCTGACAGCCTCGCAATACTAGATCCAGGCTAAGAGGTATTTAGAGGCATATCTATGTTCATGATCCAGACTGTTAATATAGATACGAATCTCGATGGTTCTGGGGTCACTTAAAATGCTTACTTATCTTGATAATCAAAAAAATCCATCATAAGATTATATCATTAAGTATTTTCATTCATAAGAAAAAAAGTTATTTACACATTTATATACTTAACGTAAAAGTGAAAAAAATTAGAACAAGCCGCAAAATGTCTGATATGTTGTCGTTAAAAATAAATTATTTAAAGAGTAAATGACGTAGAAGTAAAAATAAAATGTACCAAGGTAAAAACTAGTTAACATAAATTTACATAACGGTTGATCCTTTTTTTTTATACAATACGTACTTAACCTAATAATTTATAATTCTTGATGTATGAAAGAAGTAATAATTAACTGTATTTATGTTTGAAACTTTTTTTAAATTAAAAGACCAATTTTTAAGTTATGTTTATTTTTAACCACATACAAAGAATTTTCAAAGAAAGAACATAAATTATTTAGTAAGTATAAAGGGAATAGGTAATGAAATACAATAAATTTAAAATCCTAAATGATTGGATAGAAGATGTAAATGAAGTTATGACCCTTATTTTTCATCATAAACTCTTTTGCAATATAATACAATTCATGAACAGAGATCTTTACATCTATATAGATGCAATCTTTACAAAATATTATTTAATGAACTGAATGTATATTCAGAACGATTGATTTATGCTACTCTGTGTGTCAAACTTAATATTGTGTGTGCACGCAGCGTAGAACACTGGCTCGAATCAAGCTACTCTGCTGGCTACCCACATGTAACTTGTTTATGAAACTAAGGAATTGGCAAACTCAGCTCAGAGAGCTCAAGAAAAGAGAGCTTCCAGTTAATAATAGTTTACCATAGATAGTATATCTGTATACACGTTAAATAGTAGAAAAAATCAATTGACAGCATATATTTTTTATGCTTACAGATATACTTACTATGATAAATTTTATTGGTTGGAGGCTTTTCTCTCTTGCACTTTCTAAGATGAGCTTGCCAACTTGTCAGCACCCCATGGTCAAAAACCAGAAGTAGTGTTAGATGCACTCGATGCCCAGGTGCGTATCGACTAAAAGTAACCTTGCCGCACGGAGCATTTACTCTAAGATCCACGCAACTCCTGCTTTACTAAATCCACGTGATTTAACTGCTCTGGATATAACTGGGCAACCTATCGAGGGTATCCCAAAGTTTTTAACAAATCTAAGTCATTCCTGTCCCCTCATATCATCAGTCTGCTAAAACAACTACCCTAACAAATTAATTTTTTCCACAACTTAAATTCATTTGAATCATCAAGCACTGGACTATACGCTCAAGTCACTAAATCACAACTACAATCTTAAACTACGACTCAGCCTGCTCTTATTCGTGCTCTGATACATAGTTATGTCCGATTGGCTATTTAATCAGCTATCGCACAATTCGTTGCCGATCTCATGATGTCTATTCTTTATTTGAAATGAATCATGAAAATCTATCAGTTGTCAGGTAAAATGTGAAAAATCCATAACAAAATACTGGAACTAGAATAACTCCTCAACGACTGAGCAATAAACATTGCCCGCATAACTGAGACAATCATAAAACCCAAAAACTCGTTCAATTTACTGAATTACACCATACACAGACTGGATATACCAAACGATAAGTCCTGTGATAGTATAGTACGATTTGTAGGCAAAGGCATTAGTAACATAACCCGCAAGGCAGACTTTGCTCAAATTGAGGCTGTAGGAGAAAAAATTAACATTAAATCGACACTGATAAAAAATTTTTCTCTGTACTCACCTTCCCTAGATAAAAATCTCGCAGGCCAAAATAGTTCTGAACGAACTATTGTCAAAACACTGTACGGTGTTCTGCAAGGTATCATACTCCCCTAAAACCTCCTTGAAGGTGTCTACAAAACTATACTGGCTTCTCTTAAGGTAAAACCTCGAAAAATTCTTCAAATGTAGAAAAATTAGTAACTTGGTTACGATTTATTATATACACGCACCGTTTTTTGAGAGATTGAGAGGAGAAACAAAAATAAGTGTAAATCAAGCATTTTCAAGAATTATTAAATTGCAGAAATATTTTTGTTTAGGAAACTTTATGAATGCAACGTATGTAGGAGACCCTAAAATTTATAAAAACGACGTATAGAAATATAAAAAATAATGACGAGTGCAGAAATAACAAAATAAATGCATACACTCTAAACCAAAAGTAGGAAAATAAACGCTCAAAAGTAGGAATTACATAAAACAAAAGTATAAAACCCTAAAATCCTTACTTTCCAAAAGTAGAAACGTTTCTTTTTTACTTTGAAAAGAATAAATCTAGTCATTTTATCTTTTAAAAAGTAGGATTTGTATATTTTATACTTTTCAAAAGTATAAATCCAAATTTAGTTCTTTTGAAACAAAAATATTTTCAAATTATACTTTTTGAAAGTATGATTTTACAATGTATACTTTCCAAAAGTACAAAATTTAGAATTTCGACTTTTCAAAGAATGATATGTAGTATACATTAAGAATGCTACAATTACGTCTACATAACCTGTTTATCTTCATTCCAGTCGAAATAGATCTATATCTTTTTCACTTGACAGTTTTATTACTTTTTACAAAATCATTTTGTTCATGTTTATGTATTAAATTAAAAATAAACAAAAATCTCAACAATTATTCCTTTAAACCCTAATTATTGGGAAGACTTTGTACGAGAAAATGAAAAAATTTCTTGTTATACATGTATTACCAGAGTAAATGCCTCTTTGAGGTCAGTACACTATAACATAAAAAATATATTTATATTTGTATTAAGTTGTGTAGGATATGCATTTGAGTTCTGATACGCCAAGAAGACAAATAAGTAGTCAGATATTATATTTAAAGTGAATTCGATTTTGAATAGTGACTTTTAAATGTAGTTTTCTTATTAATCTGGGTAACGTAAAAACAATACTTTTATCTAGTAAAGGTTTTCTGAATGTTACAAATATCTATGGACTCCTTTTACTTGCTTCTTTGTTATCATGAATAATGAATGAGGACTCTAAAAACTTGGTGTTTTGGAGCACGACTGTTTAAATAGTGAAGAGTCATA